TTGGGGTCTTTATCAGTGATTCTATTTAGCTTGGTTTTCTTCTGAGAGGTCTTCTTTCCCCCGACAATAAAAACACATGCTGGCAGAATGACTGGCTTCTAAATAATGTTGATACAAACGTGCTCTCTTGGGGCAGGGGACAATGTAATTTGCGCTATGCTATCTGTAAACCACCAAAGAATTGTGGGTTTTAGTACCATTTATATAATTTTTCATAAATCAATCAATTACTTTACTACAACATAAACAAAGAGCATGGGGGACTCATTTGATGAACAAAAAAGAGATCCAGAGTGCGCTGGCATAGTAAAGATAATAAGACAAGAAGATATGAATATACAGATAAAAACTTATTCAAAAGTGATGTATGCAATGCACTTGCAGCTATCAGAATAAAACAACAGACAGCCATTGGACATAAACTCTACTTAATTGTCCATGCTTTTTTCTGCCTTGTTAAACCTCGTGGCTGAGCAAGACACTCTCCTCTTACAATGCTACACCTGTTGGAGTTATGGTGTGTGACCTTTGCTGATGTGCTTCCAGCTTGCAACAAGGCATAGAAAGTATGGAAAAATTATTTGATGATAATATTATACAGCTGTCTGCTGATTTGATGTGAAAACGACAGGTGTATTGCATATGAAACTTGTGACTACATTTTTATTTGTCTATTATTAACATTCTTAGCATCTTCACCAAATGCACCCTGGATTTGTTCTCTCTGTTAATTGGCCCAATCCTAAAAAAAAGAGCTGGAAGATTAATGTGCAAAGTGGACTTCCACTGCTTTAACAAAACAATTGGTTTTGAAGCCAGGAGTCGTAGAAAGAAACAACATCCTTTTGTATCTGAGACCACATGCAGGCCTCAGCTGTTATCTTAGAGAGATGTTATCACTATCATAGGAAAAAGGCTACTTTGGTAAATATATTTTTCATTCTTATCATTCATCACCAGACTTCTGTTGGAGTAGATATGTGAATAAAAATCAGAATCTTCTGTATTGCAACTTCATAAACTACATATTAGGAAATTTTTGCCATTTATGAAGTCATGAATTTGGGGAGTGCAGTAAAGCAGAAGTAGACTAAAGAGTGCACAGAGAAGAAGGAGACTAGATACTGTAGTTGGACGCAATGGAGGAGGAGACTGGTTGAGGAGATGGATGGCAAAAAAACACTGGATGCAGTGGAAGAGAGTGTGCCCAGGGCAACAGGAGACTGGAGTTTGGGCCCAGAGGAGGAGGAAAGTAAGGAGGAGGAAAATAACTTTACAGGAGGAAACAAATGGCAGAAAACACTGGGTGGAGGAGAAAGAGAGTGCAGACTGGAGAGTGAGCTCAAAGCAGGAGGAAACAGGAGACTGGCCCCAGAAAAGGAGAAAAGTAGGATTGAAAGAGCAGATGGATGACAGAAGCAGGCTTGAAGTTGCACAGTGAGGAAGAAGAGTAGGCATAGAGGAGTAAAAAAGTGGAGACCACAGAGTAGGTGCACAGGAACAAGCAAATGGAGGCCAGAGAGAATATGCAGAAAAAGAGAAAAAGAAAGATAGTGTAAACTGAAGAGTGATCAAATAGAAAATAAGCAAAAACAGATTTTAAACATTAACAAATATAAGAAAAATACATTAAAATTGGCCCAAAACATTACAGTTTCCCTTTAATAGTTAACATTTGGAAGGCTAAGCAACTCTAAACAGTCGAAATTATAGAACTGTTTTTCTTTAGACCTGAGCTTCTAAAACTGCATTGAACATAATTTTTCTGGTTTTCTATACCCTTACTATGTAAAAACATCCATGATATGTGACATATTCACCCTGCATTTCTCATTTAATGCTTTCCCTTGGAAAATATTTATTTTTGTTTTTTTGTGGAGGAAATGTCAGGAACAAAATGATTTATGTAGTAACAAACGGATGCTTGCAAAATCAAAGCAGCTAAATTTGTCTCCTGTACAAACATGTTGACTGGGTTCATTAGTCAGCTTTGCCCAAATACGCACTGAGCTCAGCAGAGCATATTAAGCTCATGTAAGGAAAGCTAAAAACGCGAGGCAGCTCTATTTGCTTTTTAAATAGAACGCCTGGTTTCACTAGCAGTGTCCTGAGACCTCCAGGAGGTGTTGTTCACTGACAGTGTATCCAGGTCTACAATAAATACAGTCTAATAAGTCCCTGACAGAGGTCCATAAAGTGGTTGCATTTGACTAGATAATTTGTCTTTTGAGCACTCCTTGAATTACAGGGCAGACTCTTGCTGAGAGGTTGATTATTTGCATTTTAAATCAACAACTTGCTAAGTGATGCAAACTTATTCTTATAATATTAATGAAAACGCATGTTGCTCAATTAGGAACATGACAGATTGTTGTTATTTTGTTATATTTCTTGGCATTAGCACTTCACTTTACAAGGGATATGGTTTTTTGATATATGTTTTCTTCATTGTGATCAAAGCTGAAAAACACATTCAAATATATTTTGACTTTTTCCATAACTAGAATTAATGGGAGTATTTCATATTTATTTATTGAGTCTGTTTATAATATCTCATTGTGAAATTTGGTAACAGGTAGTCTGCCCATCTTCATACCTCTTCAGAAGGTTTCTTACATACACTGCTCAAAAAAATTAAAGGAACACTTTTTAATCAATAACATCAAGTCAATTAAACTCCTGGGATATTGATCTAGTCTGTTAAGTAGCAGAGGGGGTTGTCTGCTCCTTTGTGCAAGGAAGAACAGGATGAGCACTGCCAGAGACCTACAACATGACCTCCAGCAGGCCACTGGTGTGAATGTCACTGACCAAACAATCAGAAACAGACTTTATGAGGGTGTGCCTGATGACCCAACATCCTCCAGTGGGCCCTGTGCTCACTGCCTGGCACCATAGAGCTCGATTGGCTTTTGACATTGAACACCAGAATTGGCAGGTCTCCCTGTGCTATTCACAGATGAGAGCAGGTTCACCCTGAGCACATGTGACAGATGTGAAATGGTCTGGAGAAGCTATGGAGAATGTTATGTTGCCTATAACATCACTCAGCATGACTGTTTTGGTGGTGGGTCAGTGATGGTATGGCGAAGCATATCCATGGAGGGACGCACAGACCTCTACAGGCTAGACAATGGCATCCTGACTGCCATTAGGTACCGGGATGAAATTCTTGGACCCATTGTCAGACTCTACACTGGTGCAGTGGGTTCCTCCTGGTGCACGACAATGTCTGGCCTCATATGGTGAGAGTATGCAGGCATTTCCTGGAGGATGAAGGAATTGATACCATTGAGCGACCCCCATGCTCGCCTGACCTAAATCCAAAAGAACACCTTTGGGATATCATGTTTGGGTCCATCTGACGCTGCCAGGTTTCGCCTCAGACTGTCCAGAGTTCAGTGATGCCCTGGTCCAGATCTGGGATGAAATACCCCAGGACAACATTTGTCATTTCATTAAGAGCATGCCCGGACGTTGTCAGGCATGCATACAAGCACATGGGGGGCCATACAAACTACCGAGTACCATTTTTGAGCAATTAAATTTCAGCAAAGTGGACTAGCCTGCTGCATAATTTTTTCACTTTGATTTTCGGGGTGTCTTTGAATTCAGTCCTCTGTAGGTTGATCATTTTCATTTCCATCAAATGATGGGGCACCCTTACGTTCCTAACACATTACCCAGTCCATATCAGTATAGATACCCAGCATGATATTTTTCCCCATTGAGATCTGATGTGTTTTCAAAGTGTTCCTTTAATTTTTTTTGAGCATGAGTTTCAGTCAGACAGGGGAGAGTCTGAAAGGAAGCAAATTCTCTTTTCAAAAACATTATCCTTCAAGGATGCAGCATCTTGGGTGAACCCTGTTCAGGGAGCCCAAGCACATAAGTACTTCATATTTAAACACAGAAATTAAAATCAGATTGTACAATCTCATTTATTTACAGTGTTACAATTTTCAAGGTCCAATATTCCTTAGATCTACAAATAACTATGTAGTGCCAGGGCCTGCCCAATTTAACAGCAATTGATTGGATAGTTTAGATAGGTCCTCATAATGACATAGTTTTGGTAAACCAAAAGGCATTATCATCACGTTATAATATGTAGAGTAGAATTTCCTTTCAACAATCTACCAACAACTATGTAGCACAAGAACCTACCTGACAAATTGATTAGATAGGTTAGGTAGTCCTTCCAATTACATATTTTTGGTAGCTAAAAAGGAGATTGTACATGTCAGATTTTAAGATGTATTGTGAGCTTAAAGCCAACTCTGGGCAGTAAAAAAATAACGTCCTTGTACTGCGGCTGTGTCTGCACGCCAAGGGTTAAACAGCTCATTTTGTCTAAAAGAAACATTTTTACTTACCTGATTCTCTGTGTCCCCCTGCAGACAGTGCTCCCCCACAATATATAAAACAAGCATGCAGCGCTCCTATATGATATAAGCAAACAAAATCCAAACGCATGTATTATTACTTTGAATTTGAGAAATAAGCTTTATAATATGTGCAAAATGGTGCGCATAAACGCACGATAGCTAATAGATATCGCCGAGCATGGATGAGTTTCAAAAATGAATGGTTTCCCCAAGTTTAAAACGTGAGGATGAGTGAAAAGTGGCTATTTGTAGCAATCATCCAAATATTCGTGACATCAAATGGTGAAGAATGAGAAGTAATATTGCACTAACCATATAGCGCTATATAAAAACGCATGTAGATGATGAAATCATCTAGGAGTGAGTATCTGGACCAAGTTGTTCTGAATTTATGGCAACATCTATCGTCAACCAGCAGGACAGCAGGATTTTCCAAATGGCAGAGCTAGGATTGAAGACTAGAGGATTGAGCGAATTATGCAAAACTTTGATTCGGCTGATTCGATCTGATCTCGGGCGAATTCCGCGAATAAATTCCGATTCGAGTCGTATTATATTCGCTGCAAATTTAACTTATAAAACAAGGGTGTTTCTAAGCTTTCAGAGAGCCTGTATAATTATGGTGCAGTACACTGTAACCTTTAATTTTAAATGCCCTTGGTGGTCCAGTGGGGGAAGAGAAATAATACTGTCAGTCAGTATGACAATGCAGTATGACGTGCCGTTCGATCTTAGAATCACCGCATCACTTCCACTCATTTGCGGGCAGTCACGGGGCCATAACCAGAGTGTGGAAGCCACAGGGTGTGGCGGTGGAGGCGAGCAAGCAATGGGTAGGCCATACAGCACCCTATGAAAATATGGAACCAACCAGCAGTGTGAGGAGACCTGTGAAAGAGCACATGTACAGAGTGTGGCGAATGGAAGAGAGCAGCAATGGGAGGCCCGCGTTACAGGCGAACCAGAACACACTCCTGGACTGGCAGCAGCATGGAGGAGGCGGGTAACAGGGAGCCCATGACAGATTACGGGCTCCTGGGCAGCCCGCATGAGGAGACGGTACGTTGGCCCCATTGGGCAGATTAACGGGCCTGGAAGAAGCCAATGGGAGGCCATACAGTACCTATAGACAACAATGGATCCCACCCGCCTGTGTGGAGGACGACCTGAAAGTGGCACTGTTGGCAGAGTGTGGCGATGGAGACAGCAGCAATGGGAAGCCGTAACAGGGACACATGACTCTCTCTGGACCTGGCAGCAGCATGAGGAGGCGGTACTGGGGAGCCATGACAGATATTAGGGGTCTTGGGCAGCAGCAATGAGGGAGTCGGAACGGGTGGCCCAATGGCAGATTACGGGCCCTTGGGCAGCAGGCAATGGGAGGGCCGTTACAGGGACCCATGACACACTCTGGTCCGGGCAGCACATGAGGAGGCGGTACATGGGGGCCCATGACAGATTACGGTCCTGGCAGAAACGAGGAGTGGGTACGGGGGCCCATGGCAGATTACGGGCCTGGCAGCACCCAATGGGGGGCCCCGTAATCTGCCAGAACCCTATGAAAAAATGGAAAACCCACGGCGGGTGGGGGAAGGAGCCCTTTTTTTTAAAAAAAAAAAAAAGGGCCGGGGAATTTGGGCGGAGGGGGCGGAAAAAGGGGGGCCCCAAGGCCAAAAACCCCCGGCCTGGCGCAGAAAGGGGGGGGCCCCCGGTAAGGGCCAGCCCCCTTTACGGGCCCAAACCAGCAGGGAGGAGCCGGGGGGTGGCCCAGGGCAGATTGGGCGGGGGCAGCAGCAATGGGGGGCCCCCGAAACCGGGACCCATACAACTTGGAACCCAAACCAGCATTAAGGGGCCGAACAGGGCCCAGGGAAAAGTTTAGGGGCCGGGGGCAGCAGAAAATGGGAGGGGTACGGGGGCCCAGGAATTACGGGCCTGGAAAGCGGGGGAAAGGAGGCGTACAGGGGCCCAGGGACAAAGGGGGCCCCCTTTGGCAGCAGAATAAAGGAGGGGGAAAAAGGGGGCCCATGACAGATTACGGGGGGCCTGGAAGAGAAATTTGGGAGGGGGGTTGGGGGGGCCCTGCTTTTCCCCCGGGCCGGGGAGCGCAATGGGAAGGGGCCCATACAAACCCTAAGACAAAATGGAAACCCACCAGAAATGGGAGGAAGCCCCTAAAAAAGGGGCCACAATGGGCAAAAAAAGTGGGGGCCCCGGTTGGACCCCCCCCCCCAACCCCCAGCAAGGGGAAAGGCCGTACAGGGCCTCATGACACACTCTGGCCCTTGGCAACAGAAATGAGGAGGGGGGGTTAACGGGGGCCCATAAACAGTTTTAGGGGCCGGGCCCAGCAGATGAGGAGTGGGGTACGGGGGCCCATGGCAGATTACGGGGGCCCTGGCAGCAGCAATGGGGGGCCCCGTACAGGTGCCCCATGCCCACACCTGGACCTGGCAGCAGCGTGAGGAGGGGGTACAGGGGGAAAAATGACAGTTTACGGCCCTGGCAGAAAGCATGGGGGTTTTCTTTTAAGGGGGGGGTCCATGGCAGATTCCCCGGGGCCCCTGGGGAGGGGGGGGGGCCAAGGGGGGGGGGGAGGGGGGGCCCTTAATCTCCCAGCACCTTGAAAAAAAAAATAAAAACCAACAGCAGTGTGAGGAGCCCTTGAAAGGGGCACTTGGCCCTGGGTTTGTGGCGATGGAGGACAGAATAAAATTTGGGGGGCCCCCGAAACAGGGACCCATGACACACTCTGGCCCTTGGCACAGCGGGGAAAGGCTTTCGGGGGCCCCTTTAAAACAGATTCCCGGGCCGGGCAGCGCAATGGGGAGTCTGTACGGGGGCCCATGGCAGTTTCCCGGCCTGGCCCAGCAAAAAAGGGGAAAAGGCCCCGTAATCGCCAGTACCTATGAAAAAATAAAAACCCACCAGCTTTGTGGGGAAAGACCTAAAAAGTGGCACATGGCAGATG